GTTCAGAGATGGGCATGTGACCCAAGCTGAGCCGCTGGGAATCTTTCCCTGGAACTTGTGCTGTCACCATCAGAGGAGCATCTCTCTTCCTCCAGGATTGCCAGTGACCGAACTGCTTTGGGCCTGGATCACCAAAGGCTATCTTTGCCTACTTGAGGAGAAAGGCCAAATCAAGAGGAAAGCTGATCTGAGGGGTAGAGTAGAAGATCTGGCTCCCTGACAGCTTTGTCTGAGTGTCTGAAACCAGCCACACCTGAAGCGAGACCTGCTCCTGACCTTTCCCATTACAGGAGTTAATAAATTTCCCCTGTTGCTTAAGCTACATTGAGCTGAGTTTCTGTCACTTGCAAACTTGTGCCTATGAAGGTCTCTCTTGGCTTTTTGTTCCCGTGGAAAATAAATCCACCCTAATGTAAGCATGATTAGAAATCGACTGCCTGTACTAAGGAAAGTCCACGTGAATAAAACACGAAGAACTCTGCCCCAGCATTCCCATAGGTAAAGAATCTTTCTTTGTGTTTATTACTCACTGTCTCTGGCAAAGTGGCAGGAGCTTACAGAACCGTCATGGCCCTGCATCAGAGTCACACAGGCTCCACGGTTTCGAAACTCCCCTGTATGAACGTTCCATATTTTTAAGGTTTTATCCCAAGAGCTTGTACATAGGAAATGGCCACTGAAGGTAAAACAGCAGTTTGAGATTGCATTGGTATGGGCACTGAAACACAGATGGAAGGGAGCACATGTTAGCACTTTGCTCCTGGAAAATCTGAGGGCACAGCTAAAAGGGGGGCAGGGGGGAGCGGTGAGGAGAGGGGACATTGGAGCTGACCCCCCGTGATGTAATGGGCACCGTTCCTTCAATCGCTGCCTACCATGGTCCAGATATTAATCGCTCTGATTATGTCACACTATTCCAGGATTTCTCAATCATGGCGATACTGACATTTAGTGCTGGATAGTTCTTTGTGGTGGAGGGCTGTCCTGTACACTGTAAGGTGTTTGGCAGCATCCCTGGGCTCTACACACTAGATGCCAATAGCCCTCATACCCAGTTGTAACAACCAAAAATGTCTTCGGACATTGCCAAATCTCCACTGGGGTATAAAATTGCCCCTGGTTGAGAACCACTGCACTATCCAGAGCTGCTTGAGGCTTGAGGGGAAAGAGAAGCTGGAAAAGCTGAAATTGGTAGTTAACGGACTAACAGCCCTTCATGTTTGGTGCTGGATCACACTTACAAAGTGGGCCTCTCCTGTTCATGCTCCATCTCCTTTCTCTCTGAGGTGTGGAGGATGGCTGCTTCCCCCCCACCCTCTTCTCCCACTTACTCCTACTTCTCTTCACCCCAATGGCTCTCTCTCCTCTCTCTCTCATTCTCTCTCTCTCTCTCTCTCTCTCTCGCTCTCTCTCTCTCTCTCGTCTGTCTTCAGTGTCATTAAAACATATTTTAATGTTGTACATTCAATTTATAGAATTTCGGGATACTCAGTCTTAATTTTTAAATATCTCCTTTTTTGAAAAGAAAAACATCTGTCAGCATTTTGCTGCTTTTTTTTTTTTGTCTGTGATTCTCAAAGTATTTTCCCCGTGATTCTCATCTTTTAATGTAAACAGAATTTTCAAGCAAACTTATGAACATAAATGAGCACCTCTGAGTAGCCTGGATCATAAAATCAACCATTTTACCTAAGAAAAGGGTTAGACAAAATTGTTTTCTAAAGCTCAAGTCAGAGTTTTAGAGTGTTTCAGTTCTTTAAAATGCGCAAACTGAGTAAAGTCAAAGGGAAAAAAGTCAACTTCCCAGGGGTGTCCAGGGTAAAACTGCCCAAATCCCGGTGCCTGTTGGGCTAAGAACTATCCCAGCATCCAGACACTATCATTGGGGTCTAAACCAGGGCTATCTCTGTTTTCCAGGATGGGGCTCCCATTTCAAATAAATCCCACTTCTCATAAAAGGCCATTTTCCTTAGTACAAAAGTTTGGGGGGAAAGCACATGTTGTGCTTGCATATCTGGACAGACGGAGGCCATGCTCTTCTCCCTATTCCTCCTGCTAAGCACAGCTAACAACCCTGGGCATTTATAAAGCAAACAGAAGACTGTCACAGGTGGAGAGATGAAGGCAGACCAGCTAGGGCTCTTGGGACCGAAGAATGGCATGCTGTGAGTCCCTAGGGTTTTCTCCTGTTTCATATATCCGGAACCAGTTACTGGGAAACCTGTAGCCCAAGAAATAGGGAACAAAAGAAAGGCCTCCAAGTAAAGCCGTTCTCACTAGCTGAAGGAAGAGCCTAACAAAACAGATCACCTTTAGATCATACCCACCTTACTCCAGCCAAATATCTTGGGGAAAAAACTACAATCCCATCCCTACCCTACCCCTGTCAGCAAAAGCCAGCAGGGGAGCCTAGACTGCCACCCTTGCCAGGCTGTAATGAGGTGGCCTGTCAAAACGGAAGATTTAAGTAAGGCAGAGTCTTATAATACCCAAAATGTCCAGCATACAACTGAAAATCACTTGTCATACTAAGAGCCAGGAAAACCTCAACATAAATGAGAAAGATATTCAACAGGTGCCAACACTAAGATGACATAGATATTAGAATTACCTGATGAAGATTTTTAAGCAGCCATCATAAAAATACTTTGATGGACAATTATAATCATGCTTGAAACAAACAAAAACACAGAAAACCTCAGCAAAGAAATAAAAGATATAAAGAATGATTGAATGGAAATTTTAGAACTGAAAAATATAGTAAGCAAAATAAAAAACTCAGTGGAAAGGAGAAAGGAAAGCATCAGTGGATACAAAGGCAGACAATATAAATTAACCTATCCAATAAAAAGACCAAAAAAAAAAAAAACAAAACCCAGAGCCTCAGGAACCTATGTGACTATAACAAAACAGCTAAATGTTTGTTTCATCAGAGTTCCAGAAGGAAAGAAGAAAAAGATTGGGGCTGAAAAAGAAATTATGTCTGAAATTTTACCAAATTTGGCAAAAGGCATAAACCTATAGATTCAAAAAGCTAATCAATTCCAACTTGGATAAATCCAAAGAAATCTACATCCAGACGCATCATAATTAAACTTCTGAAAACTGAAGACAAAGGGAAAAATCTTGAAAGCAGCCAGAGAGAAATGATGCCTTACCTATAGGGGGAAAACAAGTTGAATGACAATGGCTTTCTCATTAGAAATTATGGAAGCCAGAGAAAGTGACATGATAGTTTTCACGAGCTAAAAGGAAAACTGTCAACCCATATTTCTATATCAAGCCAAAATTTCTTTCAGGAATGAAGAGGAAATCAAGACATTTTTAGATGAAGAAAAATTGAATTTATTGCCCTCAGACCTACCCTAAACAAAAGGCTTACAGAAGTTTTTCTAAACAGAAGGAAAACAATAAAAGACGGAAACTTAGAACATCAGAAAGGAAGACAAAAGTACAGGTAAATACAATGAACTTTCCTTCT